TGGCTGTATGTATGTATGTATGTATGTATGTATGTATGTATGTATGTATGTATGTATGTATGTATGTATGTTCCAGCATAACTCTGGAGCGCCTCAAGCAATTTCAACCAAACTTGGTACACAGATGACTTACCCTCCAGAAACAAATACTGGGAGTGGAAGACACCCCTGGTGTGTGTCTGTGTCTGTGGGTGTTCTAGCATAACTCTGGAATGCCTGGCCTGTTAAGGAGAGCGAATGTAGTGTCCTAGAGCAGCAATTGTTTGTGATGTCAGTTCCTTCGCAGCTTCCTCTGGAAAGCCAACTGTGACGTTCGCCCTCTGTGCCAGGATCGTAGACAGGACAGGAAAGAGGAGTGCAAGGGAGGGGGAAGGGAGAGGGCAGGGATAATGGGCATGGGAGTAGGGAGAAGAAAGGCCCCTTTCAATGGCTCCCTATCAGACAAACAATTTGATGTCTATAAATACCCAAGCTATGCCCAATTATCAGCTAAGGACATAAATAAAATGTCTCAGAACTTGTTCCATCCCTGGAGCATCCATTGCACATCCACTGTGTTCTTGGAAACACTCCTTCAACAGGTGAACAGAATCCTGACCAGGTGGATTTCCACTTCTTATCTCTTACTTTTCAGGTGACCCCCTGCAGTGAACAGATCTGCATGGGCTCCATCATGATGCCTTCTCAACACATCCGCAAACCGGAAGAAGTCCGGACAAAGGATCAGCTCCTCCTCCTCGCCAAAGAATTCATTGACCAGTATTACTCCTCCATCAAGAGGTAAGTTGAGGGCCCCCCACAATTTTTTGTGGCAGAGAATTTTGCACCAGAAACTGTCGTGATTTCTGCAAGGTATTTGACCATGGGCAATCCTGCACCAACTTGTCCCATTCGCTACGGTCAGGGTGGCCTACTTGCAAATTAAGGATGGGTCTTTAAAATAAGTGACCAGCAGGGTCTTCCAGGTGAATTATATAAGTCTGGCATGAATCTGCCCTTAATTTGTTAAAATATTATCTCCCCTCTGCCGAACCGATTTGAGTAGGACATTTGAGTCTCCAAATTTGGCGACTTTAAGACTTGTGGACTTCAATTCCCAGAATTCCTCATGGTGGGTGGTGAATTTTGGGAGTTAAAGCCCACAAGGCTTAAAGTTGCCAAGTTTGGAGTCTCTTAGGTTAGGATAACTTTCCGTAATAAGGAAAGGAATGAAGGCTTAGCTCCATAAATGAGGAGTTGACTGTTGTCTGAAAAGCTGGCGATAAAGTGCTTCATTCTTCTTGACGCTTTGGGTGGATTTCTCATTGTGCATATTACGATTCATTTGGCAAATATTGCTTTTAGTTCTGCTCATATTTATTTTCAACCAGCGAATTGCTCTTACATTAAAAGCGGCTAAAGAATTGTCAATTAAAGCCTTGAAACGAGCTGAAATATTACGGCATGTTCTGAGCCCCTCCTGGTAAGCCATTAGTAAAGCAAATTTGTCTGACCTAAAACACCGCTTAGAAAAGAAGCCTCTCTGGACATTCAGGATCTCCTCTCCCCATGAGTGTTTTGAAAGTGAAAGAATTAGAAGAAACCAAGAGGTCAAATCTCCAACATCATTATCTAATATCACTCGAACTGGTAGCCTTGTTTTGTACCCGGGGGGAGATCACACTTGGAATACTGCATCCATTTCTGGTCACCATGACACAGAAAAGATGCAGAGAAGAAAGAGTGCAGAGAAGAGTGACAAAGATGACTAGAGAACTAGAGACTACAACAAAAGATGAATGGCTGTGGGAATTGGGAATGCCTAGTCTAATGAAGAGAAGGACTAGAAATGACATGATAGCTGGCTTCCAGTACTTGAGGAGCTGTCACGGGGAAGAGGGGGTCCACCTCTTCTCCAAATCACCTGAAGGCAGGATAAGATGCAATGGGTGGAAACCGGTCAAAGAGAGATCCAACCTAGAATTAAGGAGAAATTTCCCGACAGTGAGAACAATTAATCAGTGGAACGACTTGCCTCCAGAAGTTGTGAATGCCCCAACACTGGAAGTTTTTTTTATTAAAAGGTTTTAATAGGTTTTACAATTGTATACCTTTTCCCTTCCCTCCCTCCCCCCCAATACCACATCCCCTCCCACCTCCCCCCCC